GGCCTCCTCAGTTACAGAATTATCTTCTTTAGCAAGAGAGAAGAAAAGAGAAAAAATTTTAAGAGCTTTTTAGTGTTGATGGAGATGTGGAGGATAAAACTTCACTGCAGAATGCCTGCACCGAGCCTGCTCGGTGTTTCTGTTGGTGGGAAATCAGCACTTTGCCGTGATAAATACCTGCTGTCCATTACGTTTTTAATGCAACATTTCAAAATTTCATTGACACTTTTAACAACCAGTGAGTAATTTTAGATAACGAGCAAGTGACACAACATTTCTGTCATCCTTGCTATCGTTTTGGTAAGAACAAGGCTGCTCTTGCGCTGGAGCTGTTGAATTTCGATGGCAAGGTCTCAGGCTCTCCATCCACGTGCTGTTGCCTACACAATCAGTTCTGAGTCACAACAAACATGGCTTTTATTTCCACCCTGCCCACCCTTTTCATCCTTTTCGTGTCTGCCTTTCATGCATCTCTGCCAAGTCTACGTGAGGGACAAATGAAGTTGAAGGCAGAGGTGAATGGGAGTGAGGAGGAGGAGGGTGGAGAGTCGATACCAGTGGTACGAGGCTCCTGCTCGGATTTGTCGGGTGTAAAAAACCACGCAAGTTTAACCGAGGTGGGAGAGCCGCACGATGCGCTCTACGGGGCTGAGCTGTGTAGGACGCGGGCTCCTAAATGAGCATCTCTGGTGCAAACCCACACGTGGAGAATGCAGCATAGCTCCTGGAGCGAAGCTGTGCTCCAAGCAAATCTGCTTTTTATATTCTCTCATGTTACCTAGTTAGCCCTCCCCCCTTACAGTGCCTGGTATTTATGTTTCCAGATAATAATGATGTGATGTGGCTGGCAGAGTAATTTAAATAATTGGACATTATCTTGAGAAGCAAGCACCTAATTAGATCAAAATAAACTGAGAACTGAAATTTTCATCTGTTTCTAATAACCCTTTACCTATGTACAGTACCGCTGCCGTGGCAGAGATTTCATTATTCACACCACTCTGCGTACTTGGAGTTCACCAGCGATGGAGACTCCTGCGAGAGCAAAGAGCTTGGTGATGTTTTTTGGCCAAGGCTTAGTGGTTCATTCCTCTCCTGGTACCGCAGAGTGTTTTGCAGTTTTACTCTGGTGTATTTGGCCTTCGCATAACCGGGGAAGTTTGGAATTTGTGTCGGCAGTCTGGGTTTGAACGCGCAGCTTTGGAGAGAAAAGGCTCAAAGAAAGTCTGATCGTAGGACTGTATCTTTTTTCTTTCTCTAAGTTTATCGAGGAGTTTGTAATTCGTTCATTCCTTTGTGCGCGCGTGTTGAAAAAACCAGCAGCTAGCGTCGTCGCTGAAGAAAAGAGAAGTCATTTTAGTACGTACGAGGAAGAGGCAGCTCCCCAGCGTTGGGTATCACCGAGACCATCTGAGTGCGCGATGGCTTTAATCTGGTCCTGAGGAGAGGACTCCGCTGGATTTTAGAAGTTCAGTTAAAAGGGTCTCGTTTTAGCTTTGCCAACTCCAGCTGAAAGGCTCTGGTGTTGAGGGGGTCGTTTGGAGTGGAAGTTACGAGCATTACAGGCAAGGGACGAAAACAGGAGGGAAATATTTACAAGCAGACGTACGTTTCCTTTATGTTTAGGGATTGGTTCGGTGTCTTTCTGCTGATTAGTTGCTCTTCCTCACATTTCCTCGTACTGTTATTCAGTTGATTTATTTAAAGGTATGTCAGCGCTGGCTGAAATGAAACACTGTGCCTCCTCTTCCTGCTTATTGCTGACCGCTCCAATAATTCATTTTTTAGCTCATTAGCTAACAGGGGATGTGAACAGTGGTTCTCCAGGGGACTGCAATGAGGTTAAGTGATCTACTGCTGACAACTCTGCTCTTGGACTGGCCTTCCTTGGGGGAAATGAAACCTCGACCAAGACAAGCTGTGGATCCCAGAAGTGAAATCGGGGCATCAGAGAAACAATTACAGTATTTATGTCTTGTTGTCGGGATTTCTAAGATGAATGCGAGCGGCGGAGCTGAAGCTGTCTTCCAGGAAAGTCGCCAGGACTTCCCGTTCAAAATGAAAGGGTTTGTGCCGACGAGGTAGGGAGGATGTCTGTGGACGTTGGTTTTCTAGATACTCATTCAAAAACGGTCCCACTACGTTTTGGCTGTCCATGAGATGTGGACGAGCATGCTTTTCCTCCTACCGCCGTGATAAAATTTTGTTTTCTGCCAGAAAACCCAAACGACGTATCTTTCTTGGTCCCAGTTTGTACGACTGAATAAGATCTGAATCTGACTCGATAGCCGATGTCGGTGACGTGCTGCCCCCAAATGTCTGAGGCTTTTAAAACACCTTTATTTCTGCTTGTAGCGTTTGCTGTGTTCCCAACCCTTGATGTGACTCCAAAGGTAGAATTTGACCCTAATGACTTCAGGCTTTTGGTGCCCTGTGTGGCCAAGAAAAATTAGGTGAGTTTTCTGAAAAAGGAGACCCAAGTGAGGTAAAACGACCACGTACGAAGGTTGAATTTTTAGGTGAGCCGCAGGGTCCTGCTCTGGCCAGCCACGCCAGCGAGCATCTCCTGGGGGACCCAACGTCTCCTCTGCTGTTCCCCGGCTGTGCAGCAGATTTCCTCTGGTGAGGGGATGAATCCTGACCGTACAGTCAGCGTTAACGCGGAGCGGTTACGGGTTACTTGGTCGTACTACGGGAAGGACCGTTTGCATCCTCTCCATCACTAATGCAGGTGGCAGCATGTTCCCCTTCCTGTTAGATTTCATTTTAAAGGGGTTTTTCTGTTCTTTTCCCAGCCTTTTGAGACAGTAGGGTAAACCTGAGCAGGATTGGGTTGTTAGTGTCCATCCTGCTCTCCTGCAGCCTTGCCTGGTCTGACTCGCCTTCGTGCCGCTCCCATGCGACGCGCGGTAAATGGGGAGTTCGTGCCGATGAATTTGTAAAGCAGCAGCCTAAAGCTCCGAAAGCCTCCGCCCGAACTTGGTGCTTACCGTCTCTGTTTCGGTACATACCATGGCGTTATTATTACGGTTTAAGATGAGTTAGAAGTGGTGGGAGGCTTACGTAAAACAGCTTCATCTCTAAACAGAAAGGCACTTCTGTTCAAGCCATGGCGATCAAAAGTTACTACTGCTCAAAAGATGGTCTGGGGGAGAGGGGGGATTCATTTGCAGACTCCTGACGAGGCTAAAAAAAAAAATTAATAGTTATGCATCTGAGGTATATTTTGCCTTTAGGACGTATGGGTGTCTGAGAAATAAATTTCTGAAGCCCTGATGTGCGCTGCTCTCGTAGAACAGCGCAGGTTGGATCACTTCATTTTTCAGTCTGGCGCGCTTTAAACATGTGGTGGGTACATTGGTTATACTGTCAATGCCTCTGTACACGTTTAAAACACATATAGGAAGTTTGCTGAACATCCTTGAAGATACTCTAGATGGATACTGGAACTAGATCTGTTGCAGTGTCGCAAGAATGCCCATTTTATTGTAAATAACTGCGTGTTACTTTATCCTCCTCGCGGCACTGGTTCTGGGTTTTTACCTTAAAAAAATACAAATACAAAAATCATGAATTAAAGGTGCAATAGTAACAGAAGTCTTTTTCTTCCTCCTCTCCATGTGGAATACCTGAGATGATGCTCTGTTTATCAGATCCTGCCATCAAAGGTGGGGTTTTTTTGTGTGTGTGTATGTCTTTTAGCTTGCAGGAGTCATTCAAAGGTTTGATTTAAACGAAGGGCTCTTTGTGTTAATTTTCTGTTTGCACTTTTGCTCTGAAAAAAGCCCTGGACCTGTTTGTAGGATAAATTGTGATGGGGTAGAGAAGCGGATGCTTTGGGAAGCTGTGCCTGAAAGCATCCAGGGAGGTCAAAGCAGGGTCGCTCCGCATGTACCAGGAAATGATGCAAAACTAATCCAGATTTGCTGTTGGAAGGATCTGTTTACATAAGTATTTAAAAACAGATTAGGGCTAACCTGACACTAGATTACTGAGAGTAGTGTAAACATGGCTGAAAGGCGTAAACAGAGCTTTGCCTTTTGTACTCCGGAGGAGAAAATCTCTCACCAGTAACAAGTTGCCTGGCTTAGGTGATGTGTACGGTTTTCAGAGGCTGGACAGATTACCTGCGGTACCTCTAAATGGGACTTTGTCTAGGGCAACAGCTCTTAGATCGGATAATTGTATGGTAATTTTTTTAATGGAGAGTTGAGGGACTTGTTTGTAGTCCTTGTTATCCTGTAACCTAATAGCATCCAGAAGGCTTTTGATAGTTCTTTGACGTATCAGGAGGAAATGGTGCTTCAAAGTATTGGTTTGGTGGTTTGCATTTTGGAAAAACAAACAGAGGAACCGTCCATATGCCTTCTGCATTGGAAACATTACTCCACTCGTAGAAGGAAAAAGCACCCCTGCAAGCAAGGCCGTGTCTTTCAGGGCTTGCTTTCCTGTCTGAAATACAAGCCCAGGCGCTTGGTTACTTCTGGTCTTAGAATACAGAAATTTGGTGCGTTTTCTATAATATATTTTGCAGCCCACCTTACTCTAACGCAGAACCAGGCTGCCTGTTTTGTCTCCCGTCTTCGTGACGGTGCGGGCTCGCGCGTTGACCTTTTGCCAGTCCTTGGGCTTGCGCGTTGACCTCTCGCCAGTCCTTGGGCTCACGCGTTGACCTCTCGCCAGTCCTCAGGGCAGCCCGGGCTGTTTTAAGACCTCCTGTTGTGATCTTGCAACCCCATAGGCATGGCGTCCACCGAGGGGGATGTCGGGCACTGCGATACTATGGCTCGGTAATGATGAGACGGCTGACGCAAATGCCACAGCAAAGATGCGGTTTGGATGAACTGTTTCTATGAGGGCTTGCTCGCCAAAAATTTGAAGGAGGAGTCATTTCCTTGTTGGTTAACTGCCGTTTGCTAGCATACCGGTAGCCAAAAATTGCCTCCATTTAGAGTCCGTGAAGCCGGGTTAGAGTGACCTGTCTCCTTTGGCTTCTCTAGGGAAGAAAAAGAGCGCTGGATACGTGCGAAATACGAGCAGAAGCTGTTCCTTGCCCCGCTGCAGTGCCTGGAGCTTTCTCTGGGCCAGCATCTCCTGAGGGCTACAGCCGAGGAGGACTTGCGGACGGTCATCCTGCTCCTTGCCCACGGGACCAGGGAAGAGGTGAACGAGACCTGCGGTGATGGTGATGGGCGCACTGCCCTCCACTTGGCATGCAGGAAGGGAAACGTGGTGTTGGTGCAGCTCTTGATTTGGGTAAGTACTTGGTGTCCGGGGAGGGGGCTGGCTGGGCTGGCTTTCGCGTGGCTATGTCCCTCCACAGGACCTCCCAAACCTCCTTCCTGCGGGTTCCACAAAGCCTTCGCTGATGTCCCGAGTCTAGATGTTCCTCATTGCCTGCTCTCAAAAGACAGCACTGTGATTTAAAAAAAGCCTATTTCTGCCTGTCTTCTGCTGCTTGACGGAAAGTGAAGGAGAGCGTAGGAAATGAGGAAGGAGAGATTTCCCTAGCGCCTGTTTGCAACAGCACCGTGGCAAATTTTCTTCCACACGTCTCCCCATAGAAACCTTTACATATGTGACGCGGTGCTGCTCCCGTTGTCAGGCCGGTATCCTCCCTTGCTCTCTTCTCCCTCTCCCCATCCTCAGTTACGTTCAAACCGATCCGTCCTGAGTCCGCTCCCTCCGTTTTATCGCTCTTGTTGGCACCGCAGCTTCCAACGACACGTCTCTTCTTTCTGTAGTACGGCGTCGACGTGATGGCACGCGATGCCCACGGCAACACGGCGTTGGCCTACGCCCGGCAGGCCTCCAGCCAGGAGTGCATTGACGTTCTCCTCCAGTACGGCTGCCCCGACGAGCGCTTTGTCCTCATGGCCACCCCAAACTTGTCCAGGAAGAACAATAACCGGAACAACAGCAGCGGAAGGATGCCCACCATCATCTGAGGAGCTCACTCGTGTCTTCGCTGACCTGAATTACATCCGCAGCCTCACATTCCTCCATCCCCATCACAGCTCTGCTCTGTGAGTCTGGTAACTCTCCTTTTCCCTTTTCCCTTCGGTACATCCCTGTCCCATCCGGAAACGGCGCGGGGATGAGAAGGAGCAGAAGGGGCTGCAGAGAAAGCAGTTGTTTCAGCGACAGCTCTCGAACGATGGAAACAAGTGGGCAAGAGGGAGCGCGGGGGTTGAGCAGGACACGCCGCGCGTGGCACCGGGACCATGGGAGAGCGGTCGTCCCCGGGGAGGGGGCACGCAGGCTCCCCGAGCGCGGAGGGAAGGGGCGGAGGGAGAGGCGAGCGAGAGGAGAAGGAAGGAGAGATGGTGACTTTCCGTAACTGACAGTTAAGCACATCAGTACATTTCACCTCTACCAAACGCGACGCCTGGATTTTCATTCTCTTCTCTGAAGAGCTTGACGGCATAAATCAGAAGCAAGCACAGAGTTTGTCAGGTTTGAAGCTCCTATGATGGTATGTGTCAAATCAGTTGTAGCTAATCTGTCCGGGGAGAATACTGGCTTCATTACACTTGTATAGTTGAGTTCTTCCAGCATTACCGCTGTTTAATAGAACATGATTAGTCATCACGGAGAAAAAAGCATATTAGCTGAGGAGGTAGTTACATGGCACGCTTCGGTGATTGCTTGGATGTGATTGCAATATTCTTAGAAGCATCATATTATCTCAGACATGTTCTTTCAAGCCCTTGGAGCCCTCCTTTCTAAATTCACTGTCATAATTTAGTATCTGTTTAATTTTTCAGTCCAAAGAGAGGAAATGAGTTGCTGAGTGTTATTTGACTGCAGTCTCCTTGGTGTAAAAACAAAATGGAAAAAATAAATAAGAGTAACTATGAAACACAAAAAGGAATAATGAATACCGCTAAGGAAAAACATTTCAAGTACGTTTAGTGAAATTAATAAACGCATTAAATGCTAATATTTTTTCAGCCAGCAGAAATAGGTTCTGTCATTTTGCCAAGGTAAATGTGTTGAGTTTTTGGTCACTCCTGTGATGCATTGCCTAACTTATACAGATTTTTGTATTGTGTCTCTAGATTATATGTATGTAAAATCTATTTGAATAAAAAAACAATAAATATGCATTGATTTTTTTTTTTTTGTACAGAAAATGACATCTCTGTTAATTTATAAACTGTAATGGATGTGAACTAAATAATGTGCAACTAGTTAGGATCTGTGGGTTACAGATCATTGTACATTGAAAATATTCCCAGCAGTGAACTCTTGTTTCCATCGCAAGCCTTTGAGGAACATATCAGAAGATTATGGCATGTTTGGCATGAAAAAAAAGAAAAAAAAAAGTGTATAAGACCTTTTAGAAAGGAAAAAGAGGCTGTTTCTCAGCGCTGTAAATATATTTTACTCCAGAAGTCACGAAGCTTTCACAAGCCAAGACAAAAAGCCCTAGTCTGGCTGTGGGAAGATCAGATTTGATTAAGTTCAGAATTGATAGCCTTCACCGCGGCGGGCAGGGCATGGCTGCGCTTGACTCCCAACTTGGCTGCTTTCCGGAAGAAAAATGGCTTGTGAAAGTAGCCTGGACAGTTCATTTGAATTCCAAGTTTCAATACTTGATTTGATTATTTTGGTATTACCAGGCAGATCCCAGCTTCTCCCGTTTTCAGCAAAGTAGGATTCTGGCACGGGGAAGCAGGCTTGTATGGTTTTTGGCAGGCAGAAAAGTGATTTTTTTTTCATTATTTTTTTTTTAAGTGGCATATGGCAATGTGAAGATGGGGGGAAGGGTATATCACGGAGAAAGTTGAAAACTCAACTGAATGTGATGGCAAAGGAGCAATTACGTGAAGGCAGTGAGGTGTACACAGCATAGCAATTTGCAAATCTACCTGCTCGTATGTGTTTCCCAAGCTTTCGGTGGTGCTCTTCCTCGGGGCTCCGGATTTTATTTGGCATACAAAGGGGAGGAGCAGAGCAATTGCTAAAATAAACTGTATGGGAACAAAATGTGAAGGAAAAAAATGTAATCTGGTTATCTTAAGGGGAAAAAAAGAAATCAGCAAATTACGGATTTGATGTAAAATCATCAAATTGTGGAAGAAAAGCGAGCCTCAAGGTGGAAGCATGAGAATATTGACCAGCTTTTCCTATTTGGTGGTGTTCTCATTTTGTACTTTGTTACTGTATAGGCCTTTGAGTAGTTGGGAGGGGAAATCTTTCTTCGACCAGCCTAGGCTGGCTGCACCAGAGTAAGGCTACAGCTGCTTCTCTTCATACTGGGATAATTTTATTATTCTTATTTTTAATAGAGGCAGGGTGTCTGTAATAGTTGCTATTTCTCCATCATTCCCATGCAGCTCCCTGATCTTTGGTACTGACGGGTGGTCTTTCAGCGATGGGACAACCCATCTAACGTGCAGCTGAAGGGGATGCTGTGAAGCCCGCTGTGTCTTGGTGCTCGCGAGCTTTACACCCCGGACGGGGGAGGACACAGCGGGGATCCGTGGTCCCAGAGGTGCTATAGCTGCCC